TTTTTTTATGTTTTAAGGCTACATGGGAATTAGAATTTAGAACTGAAGGGGATTTTGTAATTCACTGGTGAACTAAACTATGAAGAGATTTAGGCAGGGTAAGAAAAATGATTATTTTTGCCCCAGGGAAATGGAAGTTATAAGGCATCTTTATAATCCTCAAGGGCATAAAGGATATCTTGCAAAGCAGAAACAGCAACGAGGTATTCAAAGCAACCTGGGGGATTAGGTAGGTTGAGGAATGATGTCCTGAGAGTGAGCAGGTGTAAATGTAAGAATTGACCTTTAAGGGAACCTAAGAAGTCTCCTCCCTTAAGTACTTCAGGTTTAAGAACAGTCATCATTTATGAGACCTTGCCTGTTAGGTGAGGTGAATGAGCTGGAAGTTCTCAAGGGCCCAGGTCTGCAAATCTAATTTCCAGTGGTAGGAACGTTTAAAACAAACCCTTGCTGCCGTGTGCTGACGTTGTGAGAAGTCACTTCCTTCCTTGACATGTGTAAAGACACCGCTGTTTTTCCAGAGATTGCAGTGAGCACTAGGAATGTGCGCTTAGCGGTGTGGACTGGTGGAGGGGCACAGGTCAGCACTGGACCTGCTAGGGTCAGAGCTTCCCCGCCACTCCGGCTGTGTGGCTGACCTCTCGGACCTCTCTCTTTGGCTGGACTTGGGGATGATTCTGCGTGCTCCACACTGTTGCAAGGATTCCACGAAACATGTAAACTCTGAACATGCAGAGAGCACGTTCTCCCTTTAGGCAAAACAGGATTTCCTGGTTTCAAAATATTAAATAAATAACTTAGGATTAATTTGTTCTTTCATACTGTCTGTAAGCTAATGTAACAGTTAAAGAATAAAATGCATTCTGATGGCTTTCTGTGTTTTTTTTTCCTTTCCAAGTTATTCATTCGTTTATAGTAATTATAAAGTGTGGGAAAATATTGCCATTTTCTTGTAATATGATTTGAAAGCCCTCTTTTGTTTTAAAATACGTCATGATTTCAGTGCTTTAGGTAGCTGTCTCTAGGGTCTTTAACCCTTGGGTGTCTACCTTTTTAGACTAGGGAGATGGAAGGCTGTCCTTTTTCTTTTCCTTTCTTTCCCTTGTTCTGATTTGTTCCCCACCTCTCACATTTCCCAGCCATACTCCTTTTATTTTCTACTCATTCCCCTTTTCGCAGGCAACTTAACTTTTGCCTTTACGTTCAGTCCTGAGGCCGGAGGCAGCATGGTTAGTTGGAGGCGGTACTGAGTCCAGCTCAGGAGGCCCTGCCTGTGTGCACTCAGGCCTGCGTGCTTCTCGCCTGTTTCATAGCGTGTGAAACAATGAGCTTGGACTAGGTCCCGACTCACTGGGAAGGTTTCTTTTAGGGGTAGCGTCCTTTTGTTCTCTTTTGTTTTTTCTTTTTAAAGCAAGGGAGAAGGCCTGAATTCCCTATCTCCTTCCCCAAACACATAGCCCCTGGGTTATCTCTTTGAAAAACCCTCGGAGGTCTTTTTTATGTTAAAAATTTCAAGATTTGTAGTCCTGTAAACAGAATGAACTCTTTTCATACATCATAAATATTGTTTTAACTTTCTTCTTTTAAAATATATTGTTTTATGTTGTCACAGCCCAATGATGATCATTACCCAGAAGATCACTAGTTTGGCTTATGAAATTCATGATGGTAAGAATTTTGAAATTAATTTTTTATTGCTAAAAAAATTCTATTCAAATAATCTTTTGCTTGAAATATTACCATAGCTTTCTGCTCTCTATTAGAGTAAGGAAAGGGATGGAGGGTAGAGGTGAGATAGGGAAATATATTTATCTCTGCTTAGGGTTGTTAAAGTGTGCTTATTTTCCTTCAGTGTTGTATCTTAATTGTGAATTCAATTCAGTGACAAAAAGTAAAATTGTGGGAGTCAGTCACATGACCCACATTAATTACAATTTAAAATATAAAGGAAATAGACATTTGGTCCAAATCAAGTTTTATTAATTCCTGCTTTATCTCTGTGTTAAATTTTTATTATAATTTGTACATTCCGCCCTCCTTTCTATATACACGTGCGTAGTTATGTATTTACATATATTTTTATTATAAATATTTGTATCTTCAGTGAATGGACATCTAGCCATAGGAAATGCTTAACAGTCAGGACTCCGAGTTGTAAGATTTAGGCTCCGATTTCTTCAAAGGTAGAATGAGCATCCCTGTTAGAGTAGTCATTTGCGTGTAGCCTGAGATCTTCTGCAATGGGCTGAGCCCCACGGTGTACATCCACCTGTCCAGTGCCCGTTCCCCAGCCAGGCTCTCCTCCGATTGTCAGAACCAGCCTTGACAATATTGTGAAGAAAGGAGGTATCTTTCCTCTTCTTCTCTTTTGCTTCTATCAAACAGAATTAACTACTTAGTTTTTGGGGGTGGGGGGTGGAGGGAAGGAGATAGGTTAACTACTTTTTAAAAAATTTCTAATACTTGTTTAATCAAGTGTGCATTTTAAACAGCAGCTCTGTTTTTGTCCTTCAGAAAATATAGAAGCACCACTGAGAGAAAATTCTCCATACAGGAGGCAGCATGATGTGGAAGGAGGGTGGGCAAATGTAGGCTCAGGTTCCATTTCTGCTGCTTACTGCTTCAGTTTTCTCATTTGTCAACTTATGATATGATCCATCCTGGAGGGTTTTTTCATAGGTTATAATTTATGTGTAGTATGTTTAGTTCTTGTATCCTGAACGATGAAATGGGTAGAACTCACCAGACCCTGATACTGGACTGTAGACATAGTAGAAGATGCTGCAGGTAAAAGCATACAGTCATCTCTGGGCGCTGACACTTCTGCATTGTGCTGATCACAGGCTCCTCCTGTGACTCCGGAAGTAGAATATAGGAAAGTCATGGATCAGGGATGTCCATAGGTCATCCATATGTCTTTGTCCATAGGTCTAGAAGCATTTGATGGCAATATTGTTCAACTCAGAGTTAGAAGTATAACAGGACCCCATTTTGTGACCTGTTCTTTTAAATGGATTTAATGGTAATTATCTCTTTAGAATAGTTTGGATTTTGATTAACCTTGACAAGATTTGAGGAATTCACACCCTGTAGCTTTCAAAGTGATTCTTCCTCCAGTTCGATTCGGTACAGCCTGCTAGACAGTGTGCTGGAAGCCTGCCATGCCCCCACACCACCTGCCTCTGTGTGCCCAAGGGAGGGATTGAACCCTATCCTGTGTTTTCTCAACTAGTCTTACAGAGGAGGGCCTTATTATCTGTGTGTTGGGGGACCCCAAGACCACCCCCAGTTTGGTAATTCATAGTGTTCAGCATGTAGTTGAATTCGTGGCTAAGATTTATTACGGTGAAAAGATTACAAGCAAAGGCATCTGCAGTGAAGTCTAGAGAAACCAGACACATGTTTCCAAGAGTCCTTTCCCAGTGGAGTCACAGAGAACATACCCAGTTCCCCCAGCAACGAGTTGTGACAACACCTGTGAAATGTCTACCAGAGAAGCTCATTAGACACTCAGTACCCAAGGTTTTTATTGGGGGCTGCTTACATAGGCACCCACTGCCTAGCATGTACCAAAATTCCAGGCTCCCAGAAGGAAAGCAGGTGTTCAGAATAAACCATAATGTTGGCACAAACAGTCTAGGCATAGGGAATATTTCATATCAGTGTAGGGCACTGTTTACCAGCCAAGTTTCCAGACACCAGCCATGAGCAGGCCCTTCTAAGGGTAGCAGTCTTAGAATTATGTTAATTCTTTTCCGCACAGTCTTTTTGGTTCTAGACCACTCCTAGATGATAACAAATGTATTTATAACTATCTCTCAACTGCCAAGTAGCATCATTCGTACTTGAAGCTTCAGGGAACAGGTGTTATTTTATCTTGGAAAATTTCTAGACATGGTTTTTAAGATGTTTCCTCACCCTCAGATAACAGAGCCCATCTACCTTTCTAGTTTTGAATCACGTATGTGAGATTGCTGAGAGCTTAGGATGGATGACTAACACAACAACCTGGTATGTGTTTGGTCTG